AAGGGTAGCTTATATGTATAAACAAAATATAAGGAATCAATAGCTGATCTGTGTGTATTTTAAAAAGTAGTTTAAAAGTCTAAATATGTATCTCAATCTTGTATTTTACAAAGAAATAAAACCGTTCCCTCGAACCAGAAAATTATTTATTACACAATATTTTAGTAATATGAAAAACATGCACTTTGCAAGATTAAGAACTGATGATCATAATCTGGAAATAAAAACTGAAATACATATGGATTTACAGAATAATAATAAACACTTTTATGGCAGAAATAAGTGTCGTTAATTCTATTCCTAGTTCGATGGATTATTGTAACGATGTTACACAAGGATTTTATCATCCGATCTATAATTACAAAAACAATAACCAGTTATTAGAACAGAATTTATTGATCTGATGAAGGTAATGATAGGGTTAATAAGAGCGAAAGTTAATAGAACGCTTTCTCTCTCTCTCTCTCGATATAACATAACATTTCGTAAAACATATTATTATCACAAGCTTAAGGCCTGTATTATCATACAAAAAACAATCACTTACAGACCAAACTCGTGCAAAGGACGATATCTATGTATGTGTTAAACATAAAATAACTAAATCGCTTTAAAAGAAAATATTATACATATATATTATACATAAGATAAGTGATTTTGTAGACTAAAGAAGTTGATCACTGGAAATGACAATGTGAAACATATATATATATCCTGAAGATCAAATATATATGTTTGTGGTAAGAATTGTTTGTTTCTTGGATAGTACCTTTAGCAGTATTTGATTGAAAGCTACACGACTACAGTAAATGAAATGCCTTCTAAACTGTCTTCTCATTCCACGTTGTGATAGCCCATTGTGTATTTTTTGCGCTTAACAACAAACAAACAGAATTTCCACGACAATAATAATATTAAAGAAGTGAAATGTTTAAATGTTAATTACTTTAAGGATTGTTTTCACTTCTATGAACACAATAAAGCAAAAACATAAATCACATATTAGTTTTCATATTTTTATTCTTTTGAAACTGTTGTTCAGTATTTGGTGGTTAGGGCGGTCGACTCGCGATCAGAGGGTCGCGGGTTCGAATCCCAGTCCCACCAAACATGCTCGCCCTTTCAGCCGTGGGGATGTTATAATGTGACGGTCAATCCCACTATTCGTTGGTAAAAGAGTAGCCCAAGAGTTGGCGGTGGGTGGTGATGACTAGCTGCCTTCCCTCTAGTCTTACACTGCTAAATTAGGAACGGCTAGCGCAGATAGCCCTCGTGTAGCTTTGCGCGAAATTCAAAAAAACAAACAAAAAAACAATCAAGCTGTGATGACCTCTTAGTGAATTGTGAAAAACTTTGATTCATCTTCACGTAATGAAACGTTTACGTGTGAAAATATGCAATGGTTCCAACCTGTTTAATAAAATAAGTAGAAATTTTATCAATAATTCATTCTTACGTATTTATTTCCAAGAACTGGAAGCAATCGATTTGGTAAGAAGAAAAATATAATCCATTTTTCCTGGTAAATTCTTTTTAAATGTTTTGTTTTGTTGGCAGGATCTGGAGTTCATGATGTTAACATAGTAAATGTTTTGTTTTAATATGTCTTTCTGAAAGTATCTGAAATTTTTGGTGCTATCAACGCTGATTTATGGAGAACGAATAAGATTTTTGATTTTGCATATCACCCATGGCAACCTAACAGTTAATGCTTCAAATGATGTTGATAACACTTTCGCGTAACCAGCAATGAGGTTTTTAATGACCGATTTTTATTATAGTATTTTTACTGTTACTCAGAAAAGGTACTTTTGTTTTCAGTTGTGAATTTTGTTCGAAAAAAATATTTGAAAATCCTCATTGATATTCACAG